TTCAATGTCACTGGCACAGAAGCTGCAGAAATACTGCTGCTTCCTCAGGCCTGGTGCTCCCAAACCTGGCCTGGGCAAGATGTAGCCCATTCGGCCCGCCTAACACTTTGACCCGGCCCATGGACTGCATCTGTCCACTTTCTATTTATACCCTGCTGCCCGTGCCACCAAGTTTTGAAGTAGAGACTGAGGCAGCAGGATCCAATGTCACTGGCACAGAAGCTGCAGAAATACTGCTGCTTCCTCAGGCCTGGTGCTCCCAAACCTGGCCTGGGCAAGATGTAGCCCATTCGGCCCGCCTAACACTTTGACCCGGCCCATGGACTGCATCTGTCCACTTTCTATTTATACCCTGCTGCCCGTGCCACCAAGTTTTGAAGTAGAGACTGAGGCAGCAGGATCCTATTTAAATGCTTCGTGGCTCTTGGTCGCTGCACTACCCAGCCCTTTGCTGTGTTTTTAATTTAAAGCCTCCAGTCCAAGACAACTCTGGGGAGAAGCTAGGCCCCAGCCCTGTCTCTTCCATGCAAGCCCTGCTCCTTCCAGGGGTGGAGCTGGCTCATTACCGCATACCAAAATTCATTAAGTGGCCTGCCAGTGGAAATTATTGCCCAACCCGTCCTAAACAGTGGTGCTCTCCTTTTACAGTGCTAGAGGACTGCAAAATAATCTTGTTTCAACAGAGCAAGGTTTTTCAATAGCAATCAGCGTACAATAGTGCTGGGGTCCCCTCTGTGTTATCAGACTCATCACAGCACTTCTGTTTGCAGCATCTGGATACTTTTGGAGAGAGCAGGTTCATGAGATGTGTCAGGTTGACATCAAGAGAAAAGCTCCTATTAATTTTTTTTTACAGGGAAGCTGGCCCAAAGAAGATGCAGGAACAATACATTGGCTTCACAATACATTAAGTGCATGAACATTCCCTAATGGATCCTTGCAAAACCACTTCATTATTTTCCTTCTAATCGCTCCATAAACTCCCCTCTGTTTATCTTATTGCTCATAATAGTCTCACTGTTGCTCTGTGCTCCCCTTTCACCCTGTTGGCCCAGCAGACTCTCATAATATAGGTAGATTGCAAACGTTTCAGGGCAGAGACCATCTTTATTACTGCAGTGTTTGCACAGCAACCTAGCATGATGTGATAGATTGGTAGAGCACTACAAACCTGAAGCTATCCACAGATCATGTTGGTGGACTGTGGATGCAGGCAGATCCAAACTTTATATCTAGCGCCCCTGCAAATGTCCACAAATCATGTTTGCAGATTGTGGATGAGAAGTAGATACAGATTTTGTACCCATGCAGGGCTCTACTGATCAGAGCCCCCCAGACACTACAAAACAAATTAACAACAAAACTGCCAGTGTGTTGGGTTTTACTGACCTTGTCAATATACTGTGGCAGCAGCTCAGCTAAGAGTTTTGCTGTATTTTCACTTATCTCTGAAGGTTTGATCACTACAGCATTTCCTAAGAGATAAAAATCAGGACAATGTGTTGCCTGCCTAGGCATGTAACACACTAAGGGGAGAATGGATGCTCATGCGGAACTGCCTGTGAATAATACCATACCTGCGGCAATGGCCCCTATTAAAGGCTGCATAACCAGGACAAAGGGGTAGTTCCAAGCTCCGATAACCAGGACCACTCCCAACGGTTCATGGTGGATGTAGACTTCATCTGTCAGCGTCAGTATGTTCTTTCCAACAGGCTTAGGAGCGGCCCATGTGGGAAGCTTGTCCACCATCAGAGCGATCTCTGTCAGAACTCCCATAATCTCGTAACTGAATGCATTGCATTCACTCTGCAAGTGAACAGTAATTAAGAAGGGGCGGTTTTATGGATTAACCGGATACCCAGTAAGCACTGCCTTGCCGTCATGCTTACTGGGGAACCGGTTAACTGGGGCCCTGCTCCAGTCCAGGTGCTGTGGGTGCTCCAGCCGGGCCAGGCCCCCCTGCCTGTAGTACATTGCTGTAAGCCCCTCCCCGCCGAGCCTTCCAGACTTGCTGTGGGCAGGAGGCACTCCTGCCTGGCAGAGCAGGAACAGCTCCCCCACCATGGCATACCCTGTCTAGCCAGAGCAGCCCACCGCAGTGAAGGCAGGCGGCTGCTCCAGCAGCTCCCCGCCCGCGGCAGGCTGGTTAACAGGTTAAGCCAGAGGTTCTCAAACTTTTTGGTCCGGGGCAAACCTTTCTGTGAATCACCCGTTGGCAATGGAAACTTGCCGTTAATGACATAATTATGCCCGAGCAAAAAACAAAACAAACCCACAAAACCTCTCAAAAAATCCCCAACCCTCATTGATGTGGTCCCAACTGAGACACTTCACTCCTCTGGTGCTTTAGCCCCACCGGGGGAGGGAGAGGGACAGAGAGGACTGAGGTTCAGGTCTTCCCGTAGGCCAGACTTACTTTTCTGGGGTTCCAAGGTTAGTGGATTTTGTGGACCGCCCCTAGGCTCTGGGGTTGGGACAAAAATGAGGAGCTCAGTATGCTGGGACAGAGCTGCCAGCGAGAGGGATGGGGCTGCAGGATCTGGGCAGGAGGTGGGCTGTAGGACAGGAGGTAGGGTGCAGGAGTAGGCTGAGAGTAGGGTGTCTGGCCAGGGGAAGGGGACAAGAGCAAGGGAATATGCAGTGTGCAGCCAGAAGGGAGAGTGAAGGAGCAAGGGAGGGTGCAGGAGTGGACTGGGGGTAGGATGGTTGTAGGAATGGACTAGGAGTAGGAGTGGACTGGGAGTCTGGCTAAGAGGGAGGGTGCAGGATCACGCTGGGGGTGCAGGATCTTGGTGGGAGCAGGCTGAGTTAGGGGGATTGGGGTGCAGGGTCTGGGCATGAGGGGGGGCACTTACGTGGCTTTGCCCCCATCGCTCCCAAGCACAGCCTCCCACTGCTCACACTGGCCAACTACGGCCAATGGGAACAGCAAGGAAAGCCTCCAGACATCACATCCCCGCACTGCTGCTCCCCCCAGTGGGATGGGGAGAAGAGGCAGCGCATGGAGCTGCTTGCTCTGCCTCTCTCCAGGAGCCGGGCTCTGGGGGGGAAGGTTGGGGCTTTCTTCACCCTCCCCCCCCCGCTGGGCAGTCACAAAACTGAAGCACTAGTGCGGGTTGCCCAGAGCAGGGTGAAGAAGGGGGTGGAGGGGAAGAAAGCTGAGTTCAAGCCATGAACCACCTTGTAAAGTAGCAGCAGACCACACATTGAGAACCACTGGGTTAAACCTGTTGTTTGCCAATGTACAAAGGAGCACAAAACAAGAACATGGCAAATCTAACTGGCAGAAGATGAACTGGCATCTAATTGCTAGCAACGATCAGTCCCACCATGGAGTGCTGGCACGCGCACACGTCTTGTGCAACCAGGGCGAAGCAAATGGGGAAGTTTCCAGAATGACAAATCCCCGCAGCACACGGGACCCTGCCGAGGCTGCAGCCAAAATATCCCCGTGACTGCCAAGAGCAGGGGTGGGGACCCTAAAGGCCTGTCCCACTCAGCAATGGGGAGCCCAAACTAGCGCTCCAGGCCCCCCTCCCAACACCAGCCCTTTACAGGGCTGGAGTGCACAAAATCGAGGCTGGGCCCTCAGGGGTGGGAGGGAAGAACGTGGGAGAGGAGGGGAAACTTGGGGGAAGGGCAGAGAGAATGGAGGGGCCCCCAGGGGAGGCAGCCCCCCCATGCAGAGAGAATGGAGGGGCCCCCAGGGGAGGCAGCCCCCCCATGCAGAGAGAATGGAGGGGCCCCCAGGGGAGGCAGCCCCCCCATGCAGAGAGAATGGAGGGGCCCCCAGGGGAGGCAGCCCCCCCATGCAGAGAGAATGGAGGGGCCCCCAGGGGAGGCAGCCCCCCCATGCAGAGAGAATGGAGGGGCCCCCAGGGGAGGCAGCCCCCCCATGCAGAGAGAATGGAGGGGCCCCCAGGGGAGGCAGCCCCCCCATGCAGAGAGAATGGAGGGGCCCCCAGGGGAGGCAGCCCCCCCATGCAGAGAGAATGGAGGGGCCCCCAGGGGAGGCAGCCCCCCCATGCAGAGAGAATGGAGGGGCCCCCAGGGGAGGCAGCCCCCCCATGCAGAGAGAATGGAGGGGCCCCCAGGGGAGGCAGCCCCCCCATGCAGAGAGAATGGAGGGGCCCCCAGGGGAGGCAGCCCCCCCATGCAGAGAGAATGGAGGGGCCCCCAGGGGAGGCAGCCCCCCCATGCAGAGAGAATGGAGGGGCCCCCAGGGGAGGCAGCCCCCCCATGCAGAGAGAATGGAGGGGCCCCCAGGGGAGGCAGCCCCCCCATGCAGAGAGAATGGAGGGGCCCCCAGGGGAGGCAGCCCCCCCATGCAGAGAGAATGGAGGGGCCCCCAGGGGAGGCAGCCCCCCCATGCAGAGAGAATGGAGGGGCCCCCAGGGGAGGCAGCCCCCCCATGCAGAGAGAATGGAGGGGCCCCCAGGGGAGGCAGCCCCCCCATGCAGAGAGAATGGAGGGGCCCCCAGGGGAGGCAGCCCCCCCATGCAGAGAGAATGGAGGGGCCCCCAGGGGAGGCAGCCCCCCCATGCAGAGAGAATGGAGGGGCCCCCAGGGGAGGCAGCCCCCCCATGCAGAGAGAATGGAGGGGCCCCCAGGGGAGGCAGCCCCCCCATGCAGAGAGAATGGAGGGGCCCCCAGGGGAGGCAGCCCCCCCATGCAGAGAGAATGGAGGGGCCCCCAGGGGAGGCAGCCCCCCCATGCAGAGAGAATGGAGGGGCCCCCAGGGGAGGCAGCCCCCCCATGCAGAGAGAATGGAGGGGCCCCCAGGGGAGGCAGCCCCCCCATGCAGAGAGAATGGAGGGGCCCCCAGGGGAGGCAGCCCCCCCATGCAGAGAGAATGGAGGGGCCCCCAGGGGAGGCAGCCCCCCCATGCAGAGAGAATGGAGGGGCCCCCAGGGGAGGCAGCCCCCCCATGCAGAGAGAATGGAGGGGCCCCCAGGGGAGTCAGCCCCCCCATGCAGAGAGAATGGAGGGGCCCCCAGGGGAGTCAGCCCCCCCATGCAGAGAGAATGGAGGGGCCCCCAGGGGAGTCAGCCCCCCCATGCAGAGAGAATGGAGGGGCCCCCAGGGGAGTCAGCCCCCCCATGCAGAGAGAATGGAGGGGCCCCCAGGGGAGTCAGCCCCCCCATGCAGAGAGAATGGAGGGGCCCCCAGGGGAGTCAGCCCCCCCATGCAGAGAGAATGGAGGGGCCCCCAGGGGAGTCAGCCCCCCCATGCAGAGAGAATGGAGGGGCCCCCAGGGGAGTCAGCCCCCCCATGCAGAGAGAATGGAGGGGCCCCCAGGGGAGTCAGCCCCCCCATGCAGAGAGAATGGAGGGGCCCCCAGGGGAGTCAGCCCCCCCATGCAGAGAGAATGGAGGGGCCCCCAGGGGAGTCAGCCCCCCCATGCAGAGAGAATGGAGGGGCCCCCAGGGGAGTCAGCCCCCCCATGCAGAGAGAATGGAGGGGCCCCCAGGGGAGTCTCCTAGCTGCTTCCCCCCCACACACACCCAGGTTATGTCTACACTGGCTGCACAAGAACTGTTTTGGGGAAAAGGTCTTGCACAAAAATTCCTGTGCCAGAGTGCGTCCACACAGCCACGTGCTTTTGCACAAGAGTGTCCATGGTGGTATGGACGGTCTCTTGTGCAAGAAAGCCCGGAGGGCCCCCTTGCCCATCCACACTGCCTTCTTGCGCAAGAGGGCTTATTCCTCCTGAGGAGAGGAATAACTCTTGGGCAAGAAGCCCTGTTCCACTGCTTGACTAAATTTACTTGCACAAGAACACGGGTGCAGTGTAGACGCTCTGCAAGTTTTTGCACAAGAACGGCCCTTCTTGCGCAAAAAGTCTGCAGTGTAGATATAGCCCCAGTGCATGGAAGGACCCAGATGTCCCGCAAGCACACGGAGCTGGTGGAGGATTCTGGCCATGGATCCCTGGCAGTATGAGCACTGTGTTAGGTGAGTTGTCACACATGGGCAGGTGCAGTGCAGGGCGAGGGTGCCGTGTGGGGTGGATGGAGAGTTGAGCTGGGCACATTAGGACAGTCCCCAGTGAGCAAGCGCAGCGCAGGATGCAGGCAGGGACTGGGGGCAGTGTCCAAGTGGGTGCAGTACAGCGGCAGGTACATGTCCCTGTCATACATGACCAGGCACTGGTCCATAATCCTGGCTTTTATCCATTTGTCAGTGGCTCCTGCAGCCCATTCTGCTTTTTCAAGGGGCTTGAGCCCATGACTTTATGTGGGGCTGTGAAGGCCAAGCACTGCTGAAAAGCAAGCCCTTGGAGCTCTAATTGTACCCACCTGGGGCTGTGCAGCTGTGAGCTGTGCCAGAGGTAGCAAGTCCCTGCCTTGGCTCCCTAAAGGACTAGAGGAGTGCACAAACCCGAACACACTATCTTACCCTCTCTAAGGCCCCACCGTCACTCACTATCCTCTCCCCTCACTGTGTCACTGAGCTAGGGCAGAAGGCTGGGGTACAGGAGGGAGTGAAAGCTCTGGCATAGGGCTGGGGATGAGGGGTTTGTGGTGCAGGAGGGAGCTCAGGGCTGGTGCTTGGGGTATAGAAGCGGGTGCATGCTCTGGGAAGGAGTTTGGGAGGAGGCTTAGGGTTTGTGCAGGGGGGCTGGGTGTTGGAGGGGAGGTAAGGTGCAGGCTCCAGCAGGGGCATCAGCCAAGCGGCGCTTACCTGAGGTGGCTCCTGGTTGGTGGAGCAGTGAGAGTAACGTTGCCTGGCCTGGCTCCATGTGGCTTCTGGAAGTGGTCAGCATGTCTGGCTCCAAGGCAAACGGGGGGCCAGGCAGTTCTGCG